TACAGTAGAACCTCGATTATCCGCCCTAATTGGGGACTGGGGTTGGTCGGATAATTGAAAAGTCGGATAACCGAAAAGTATGAAAAAATCCATTATTAGTGTAGTATATTATTATATCCCATGTAATTAGTATATTAGTATATTGGTATATCGCTATTAACCTACTTCTCGTTGAAATTTTCATCGATGTTAAGCCTAACAAAAATTTTTTAAAATAATAATCGTCGCTATTGAATCGTTAAAAATTAGAAAATTAAGCCTTGTTTAAATACTGGCTCCCTTTCATGGTCGAATGAGTGTTTCCAGCTAAAATACGTAAAAATAATATTAACGTAGGCAAGACATAGCCAAATATTGTAGCGCCACATCAATAGCGGACATTTGAAATTTGCCGACTATGACGGTCGGTTAACCGAGGGGTCGGTTGATCGGGGGTCGGATAATCGAGGCTCTACTGTATTAAAGAAATTAGTTAAAATACATTACAAATTGCAATACTAAATATTTTTGTTCCCAGAATATTTGCAAACTGCCATATTTATTTTGAACAGTTTTATACAAATGTAAAATTGCCAGTCATTACTTGACTTTATATTCTTATATGAAATTGTTAAACACAGAATAGTACTAATTAACTATTTCTTAAATCTACTAAATATTACATAACAATAATTACAAAAGATTCAAAATAACAAAAAAATTTAAAGATAATTATTATTATTTGAGACTAATAATTTTTAAAATTATATTTCTGTAATACAGTGGTACCTTGTACTTCAAACTTTTCAGAGTTTGAATGTTAAATTCAAGAGAAACTCAATTCTGGATGATGCATACACATTCAAACTATGCATGCTGTGAAATAATGCACTTGCTGCATAAACATTGTCTATTGTGCAACCAACTCATATGTCACTCTTGCTATGAAAGCATCTCTTGCATTATGCTCATGTGTTTTCAAGTGTTTTATTCATTTTATTTTTGGTGTATTTGGTTATATATTTAACTCCTACTTATTAACCATGTCATCCAAGAAAGGTGTGGAAGCAACAAAACCTAAGAGGTACTGTACATATGGCAGTTGTGCTTAAGATGCAGAAGTCAACAGTGTGAAACCAGTAAATGCAATTTTCATTTTATTATACAGTATTTAAGTACTTTATTTATTATTTAGGGCATTTAATTGTATTATTTTTACCTTAAATTATAGAGTTTGCTCACAACATATTTTACATTATGTTTCCCAAATGTTATACAGTAGAACCTCGATTATCCGGACTAATTGGGGATGAAGGTAGTCCGGATAAGGAAAAATCCGGATAATCGAAACAAATACTTTAATTTGTCTTTTAATGATAATACAACATGTTTTCTTTTCGATAACATATCGGTAATATTAAAAATAAATACTGTATTTAAATTGTGATCAAAATTTCAAGAAAAAAACGTTCGTATTGAATTTGGACTACTATTGACCAGCGCTAACAGACTAGCTATTGTTTAAAAGGCCCTCTGGTGGCTCAAGAAGACAGATTTTATAAAATAAAAAGCAGTTGAAACTGCATTTTTATGATTAAAAATTTGACAAACTATTTATTGTTTTATGACGAGTAAAATTTTTTTGTCACGTTCTCGGCTTTTAAGTAATGCATAAACCTTCGAGGCGCGAGGCCCTTCGGACCACGAGGCATAGGCAGTGGCCCACGTTGCCCATGCCTTATGCCGCCCTTGATCATAGAAATGATGTAATTTGAATATAAATTATATATAAATACGTATGTCAAGTTATATTTTTATTACTACGCAAAATATATTTAAGAGTTTACGACCACTGTGCCAGGTGAGACGTTGTTGAAACAAAAAATATTATGCATTCCATCACGTACATAAACAGTGTCATAATTCACCAAGTGCAAATCAGCAAATTCATAAAATTTTTGTGTATTTTGAACAATCCGGATAATCGAAAATCCAGATAATAGAGGTCCGGATAATCGAGGTTCTACTGTAATTATAAACAATGTTAGATGGCATTTGCACATCCAAGCCCATTATGCTGTAAAAATATAACAAGCATGGATGGATGATATTAAAACTCACTTTTTTTTCTGAAGATTTCAAAAATTATGTTGTCACATTAACCATTAAAAAAGCGATGAAAGAGCAGGAAATATATATCTTGTCTCTGTTCCACATCATTAAGATACCAACTGGAAATATGGCCAACAAACACCAAGAGCATTCTTATGTGGTCATGCATAATGACAACAATTCATTGACATCAATAAAAGATCAAATATGATTGGTTCTACAATTTTATAAAATAAACTTCTAATGTAAAACTTTTATAATACTTTTACTGGTATGTTATGCATAAAGTTTTACTTGATGTTTTTATAATGTAAAATACATTATGCAGAAACTCTATATTATATGTATTTGCTGTTCAAGTTTATTAAAATGGGTATTGTTTAGGGCTTGGAACAAATTCACTTTCCATTATTTCTAATGCAAAGAACTGATTCAGATTTCAAATGATTCAGAGTTCAAATAGACTCTTGAAACTAATTAAATATGAAGTACGAGGCACCACTATAGACATAAATAAATGAGTTCCATAATTATTGTTTTTCTTTATCTCTAGCACAAAGTAAAAACTAAATAAATATTAGAGGATAGAACCTACATGTAAATTTCTATTTATGTTTTGAGTAACATCACTATTGCATTTTATATAATTTACACTGATTTATATAATATAATATTATACTGTATAGAGTATTTTATGAAAATTCTACAACAAAATATTTTAAATTTAATATAAAATAAACTATGTGGGTGTATATATACACACACATATATATAATAAATATACTTACTATCACAGGTGGTGGTTCTATCCTATCATACTAGCAGCATTAATAAAATAAAAATATTTCTGTATTAACTGCCTGAAGATAATGTCTGATTTCGTATATTGCACAATTTAGCACTGATGTATGTGATGATTGTAATTTAACATATCTATTCAAAACTGTCTGCAGCAACATCTACCATATTTTTGTGCATATAAACTGCATTAGTGTATAACTTTCAGAAAATTGCTAAAACAAAAACAGAACTTTTGTATAACCAACCCCTATAGAAGTGTGTTATACTAAAAATTGCCTATATGTCCTTTATAGAACTACTGTATACCCTGTGCTTATGAAGCAGCAGTCACTCCAAAGCACAAGCTTTTAATTAGTGATTTAGTGATTTAAAATTAAAATATAACCCATACCATCTTTCAAATTGTCTTTTAAATGCAGATAACCCATGGATTATACACACAAAAATATGTTAAGGGCCAAAACTCATGAACAATACACTTTCCAGTCTATTAGGAAAATTTCATAGGAAGCAAAATTAATTCTGAAGAGTTATTAAATGAGTAGCAAGTCAAATTATAATCCCATTGTTCATTCTCAACAGCACATTCAGTTTCTCTCAGTTTAAATTTCAAACAACTTTTTAATATGTTTTTGATGTGATAACTGTACCATTGCCAATTTATTACATTCTGCTACTAAATACATCATAATATAATTTCATTTATTCATCAAACAAAATGATACTCAGGCTGTTGTTTTCCTATTAACTGTACACGAGATGAGATAGAGCCCATTCTTTGAGGACATAACATAACAGTCAGAGGGAGAAGAATTGCAACTGATTCCAGAACTTTTTCAATAGAAATCACTCTAAGAACTATGGGTAATTACAATTAACTATTTCTTATTCTTATATCTATAAATAATGCATGGGTCTTGACTCAAAATTCAATAATTTTCTCACCCAACATTGGGGAAATGCTTCCTATGCAAAAAGCTTAGCCACACAACTGTTTATAGGCATTATGGGAACCATTTACCTTGTAACTACAACATTACATTTTCTTTTTGATGTCAATTTTTATTTTTTTTTTTTGGCATTTTCTGGAAAGTAAAAATCTTGTTCAATTGAGTTTTAGCTTTTAGATGTTGATACAGATGATTTTGTGTAAGAAAATTTTTATAACAACCTTTCTAAATAATGCAAATAATTTATAACTATATAAAAAAAAATTAAATGTTAGGAGAGAATCAAATAAAATTTTAATTTAACAATCATATAGTATTTTACTATAATAGATACAAGTTCTAATAATTGTTAGAAAAATTTGTATGAATATATTCTATGATAAAGTAGCACAATCAGATCATTTAAGAAATTGTTTTTTTTTTACTTATTTTATATTTAATAAATTAATAATTTTTAAGGAACTAAACAGAAATTTGTTATAAGTTTATTTTTGACAAAGCATTCTGATGATGAAATTTATAGAATTCTAAAAATGTTTAAAGAAACAAAAAAACAAATGCAAATAATCTGATTATTAATAAACATAACTATCGGTCATAGGATTCTGATTATTTTATTAAAACAGATAACAAAATTAACTTGAAGCTAGAATGTTTAACTTTGAAACTGGTTTTAATGTATTGTGCAAATTTCACATCTGAAATCAATGGGTACATTCTAGCATTCATCAGTCTCAGCCTTAACTGTTGTGCCAGTGAACAGTTTGAAAGCTTTTACCGAAATGCCTAGCAATCTACATTACTACATTGGCATAGAATAAGTTGAAATAGTACATTCTATAAAAATAACTTTGGATTAATACAGATGGATAATAAAAATGGTGTTAATAATATAACCGTGGACATGGTCACATTGCTTTGTCAGAGCTCACCATATCCACAGCTGATGAGTGTGATGTGTATTGGTTGTTGCACTGAAACACATTGGTGAATATCAGAATACACTTTAGTACTGTACATCTTCATTCACCAATGCGCTGTTTGATACATACCGAAATGTTCCCATAACCTTCACTATTATGCACCTATCTACAAGTAACAATACATCTAACACCTCTCACAAGATCATGATGATGTAAATTAATGAATTAAAGTTGGTTACAAATTATATATACATGAATTATAAACAAAATTTATTAATATTCTATATAAGAACAAAATTATAAATAATATCAAATACAGAAAAATGAACATAAAAAGACTCTAATGCAAGCTCTAATGTAAGACTCTAATGTAACTGAATATTTTTTTAGCATTTGGGAGATTGGTTTACATGCTGCAAACAACAGTGCAAGTCTCCCTGACCAAGGCTCAGATCTAGAGCAGGTGCAAGGTATTACAAACAACAATTAACACCTCAATACTACTTCCAGCAGTCAAAAGTTTTTAATAATCTAACGTTTTCGGTCGTCTTTTAGAGGCCCTCTTCAGGATGAAACATTAAAAAACAGTTCTATCTTTTGAAGGATTCTAATAATCGAATAAAGCTGTGTTCCAAACTTTTAAATATTTAAACGATGTGTACGATATAAAAATCATTACGTTTACAACACAAAAAAAAAATTTTTTTGTGTGTTGTAAACGTAACGATTTTTATATCGTACACATCGTTTAAATATTTAAAAGTTTGGAACACAGCTTTATTCGATTATTAGAATCCTTCAAAAGATAGAACTGTTTTTTAATGTTTCATCCTGAAGAGGGCCTCTAAAAGACGACCGAAAACGTTAGATTATTAAAAACTTTTGACTGCTGGAAGTAGTATTGAGGTGTTAATTGTTGTTTGTAATGCCTTGCACCTGCTCTAGATCTGAGCCTTGGTCAGGGAGACTTGCACTGTTGTTTGCAGCATGTAAACCAATCTCCCAAATGCTAAAAAAATATTCAGTTACATTAGAGTCTTACATTAGAGCTTGCATTAGAGTCTTTTTATGTTCATTTTTCTGTATTTGATATTATTTATAATTTTGTTCTTATATAGAATATTAATAAATTTTGTTTATAATTCATGTATATATAATTTGTAACCAACTTTAATTCATTAATTTACATCATCATGATCTTGTGAGAGGTGTTAGATGTATTGTTACTTGTAGATAGGTGCATAATAGTGAAGGTTATGGGAACATTTCGGTATGTATCAAACAGCGCATTAGTGAATGAAGATGTACAGTACTAAAGTGTATTCTGATATTCACCAATGTGTTTCAGTGCAACAACCAATACACATCACACTCATCAGCTGTGGATATGGTGAGCTCTGACAAAGCAATGTGACCATGTCCACGGTTATATTATTAACACCATTTTTATTATCCATCTGTATTAATCCAAAGTTATTTTTATAGAATGTACTATTTCAACTTATTCTATGCCAATGTAGTAATGTAGATTGCTAGGCATTTCGGTAAAAGCTTTCAAACTGTTCACTGGCACAACAGTTAAGGCTGAGACTGATGAATGCTAGAATGTACCCATTGATTTCAGATGTGAAATTTGCACAATACATTAAAACCAGTTTCAAAGTTAAACATTCTAGCTTCAAGTTAATTTTGTTATCTGTTTTAATAAAATAATCAGAATCCTATGACCGATAGTTATGTTTATTAATAATCAGATTATTTGCATTTGTTTTTTTGTTTCTTTAAACATTTTTAGAATTCTATAAATTTCATCATCAGAATGCTTTGTCAAAAATAAACTTATAACAAATTTCTGTTTAGTTCCTTAAAAATTATTAATTTATTAAATATAAAATAAGTAAAAAAAAAAACAATTTCTTAAATGATCTGATTGTGCTACTTTATCATAGAATATATTCATACAAATTTTTCTAACAATTATTAGAACTTGTATCTATTATAGTA